TCCACATCATTTTCATCAGATGAGGATTTAAAAGATCATTATGGCAATACGGGGACATTGACTTCGACCTGGTCAACGAAGGCTCAAAAATGTTTCTTGTTTATTAGGAAAGATCTTGATATCCCAGGCCCATAACACTCTGACTAATCTCAGGCTATCCTCTTAGCTGGGCTATCGGAAACGGTTTCATTGCGAACAGGGTCATATTACCGAGTTTATATTTGCCTGCGCTTACGTTGCTTCAGCTTGCTAAGTGGGTTTGTGGCATGTGCTTTCCTTGGATACACTGATTGCAAGTCAACTCAGAGTGTCAGTGACAGGGATAACGTCTTCGTGTATATTGAAGTCAGCGGTGGCCTATTGATAACGCGGATGGCTGTTTCACTTCCACTGTCTCGAAGGGGTGATATTGCATATGTGGGATAGAAACGGGCTAGCAAGATGGCAAACTGACTTGCCTGCCTTCTAAATAGGGGATTACGCTAGCACTCCCAGAACCGTCTCAGGGGCCACTACCAATCCAAGTCCCAATCGATTATGACGCTCTTGATCTCTAAGACGTCTCGGTGTCACAGAATGCTATGCGGAGCACGTTCGGCTGTCTCAACTTTGAAGGATACCCCGCGAATGAAAAGCAAATGCACTACCACGAGCGATTTGATGTTGAGAGTACACTACGGATGAAGAAACTTTGCGCTGAGACGCTGAGCTTGATGCTAAGGTCGCCAAATCTTTTTGCAACAGCGGGCGCCGAGGCTTTGATTAATCATTGTCACACTATAAAAGCAACGCTGCTTAACTTGTTAGTAGCAGCGGAATGATGAGGGTAGTATTTCTGACTGTCCCACACTCTAGTCGAGACCTCATGTTAACCTAGAATATGAGCGCTCTATTCGAGAGTTTGCGATGATGACGATTACCACGTTGGGCCAGATACGGACTTTGTGGCAGATGAAGAAGTGGGTTCGTCAACCGTTTTGATACTAAGAGGTTGGTTGCATCATCAGGCTTTTGGTGAAACGTGCAGGGCGGCTATTTAGTTAGCCGCCGGGAAGTCAAAAGTGTGGAGCGGATATCTTTCCCAGTTCGGTCAAGTCAGCAAAGTTAGTTGGCCGCCGAAACAAAACCTAATAGTTATCCAGCTCGTGGTCTATTCTTTTTGACCTCTATAAGGATGTAGTTCATTTATAAAGGTGAATATAAAATAACCAGAATTACGGAGTATAAGAGGTATTAACCTAATAGTTAAGAAACCCCGAGTACATTAGTTTTTTTGGACGAGCACGGAAGAAATGGTCTATAGTTTGGAGCCTGCCAGTGTGTCATGGATTGCAAACGAGTCAATTCCCCTATAAGCCCCGTACTAGTATTTGTAGCCGGGCGCTTCATTCTTACTTGTGTATTAGCATGCACAAACGTGCCATCAGTGTCTCTGAAAAACTTGAAGGGGGGGAGGAGAGTGCCTTGACTTGACCAATGATTTCGAATCCCGTCCTAATGCTTGGGGTTTGGAGGAGTTTCTTCACTAGAACTGACATGGCTAGTAAATAAGGTATATTCCACAGTCAGCGATAGATTGATACAGTTTCAGACTGTAGGCTGAGGTTTTGAAAGACTTGGTAGTACGGAGTATGCCTAACTCTATTACTCTTCGGCGGAGACCTAGCACGTCTTTCTCTGGCGTCTGGGGAAGATATAGCAGCAGGTAAATTTAATTATTATATTGTAGCATGGGCCGTCTGCCCCGTGACCCTGTGGCCGGCGTAACTCTTGTTAGATGACATCAGCGTAATGCAGGCAAATAACAGGTGGGTTGGTCATACTTGGGCGGTTGTATTGCTGTCTACTCATTGATGATGGGGTGAAGATGCACGGGGGGTGGTTGATGCATAA